TGTACGTATGTATGTATGTATGTATGTATGTACGTACGTACGTACGTACGTACGTACGTAGGTACGTAGGTATGTATGTATGTATGTATGTATGTATGTATGTATGTATGTATGTATGTGCGTACGTACGTAGGTATGTATGTATGTATGTATGTATGTATGTATGTACATATATATATATATATGTATCTATATACACATATTTATTTATTTACATACATGTACATCTGTGTACCCCCGCCATAAATAAACAAAGTTTCTGCAGAACAGCCCTGCAAGTCCTAGATCCTACGATACCCAGAGGCCCTTGCACCTAAATTCGATGCAACCTGGGGTCTAGGGTCCCTAAATAACCCAAACCCCGACACCCCAAACCCTAAACCGGGTTTAAGGTTTAGGGCTTAGGGTTTAGGGCTAAACCCTAAACCCTGAACCCCAAACCCCGAAACCCAAACCCTAAACCGTAAACCCTAAACAGCATACCGGCTTGAGGGTTTGCTGGGTTTCGGGCGTTGCATCTTACCGGCTCGAAGGTCGGCCCTAAACCCTAAACCCTAAACCCTAAACCCTAAACCCTAAACCCTAAACCCTAAACCCTAAACCTTAACCGTTCGTTTTCGGATTTCGGGGGTGGATGGAGGCCTTCGGGGCTACATGTTTAATGTTTTCGACTGGGCTTAGAGTTTAGGGGTTCGGGTTTAGGGTTTAGGGTTTAGAGTTTAGAGTTTAGGGTTGAAGGTTTAGGGTTTAGGGTTTTAACGTTTAGGTTTAGGGTTTAGGCTTTTAAGGTTTAGGGTTTAGGGTTTGGGGTTTAGGGTGGTTCAAACGCCTCAAGAGTCCAAAGGCGCCCATACTTGTTATCAAGGGATATACCGTAAATCATTCGGGTAGTTGTCTAAATTCGGGTCCCTTTTCGGGTCCTTATTATAAGGGTGCCGTACTATAATGGGGACCGAAAAACGGACCCTAGTTTACAGAACTACCCATACGGAGGATCCCACCACTGCAACACTCCTCATTTAAGGGATACCTTAAGAACCCAAAACCTACTTTTTTGTAGGGTCCCTATAAATCCCCATATTACGGTGTATAATAAGAACCTACAAAAAAGTGGGTTTTGGGTTCTGAGGGTATAGCTAACGAACCATATTAAGGATGCCTCCATAGTTACAAGTACGCAGCATACTCATTCGTTAGTAAGGCTACTTCTTAAGCACACCTCGAGCCGCAATAACAACACTGCTTTGATAACCCCGTAGAGTTATCAGAATCTACTTCCTGAGAACCAAAACCCTAAACCATAAATCCGAAACCCGAAACCCTCCACCCTAAACCAGGAACCCTTAGGATTTGGGGCTAGAGTTTTAGGGTTGAGGAATCAGGGTTCTAGGGCGTGGAGTTTCAGGGTTCAGGGTTTAGGGTTCTAGGGCTTAGAGTTTCAGGGCTTAGGGTTTAGGGTTCTCGGGCTGAGAGTCGCGAGTTTGGGGTTTTAGGGCCGGAGCTACCACAAGGGACTCAGGAAGCATGACTACCTCACTCAACCCATTGGCCTCGGGGATCGTGTCCTGCGGCCAGTCATACAACGCAAACCTTGGCTTGGGGTTGAAGGGTCTAGGGTTTAGGGTTTAGGGTTTGGGGTCTAGAGTCTAGGGTCTAGGGTTATTGGTTTGAGCGAAGGTATCATGGCACTTAGTAGCTAGGTGTATTCTCAGGGTAACTCTACTTATACTGACGTCTGACCCCATTCAGCTACTTACATAACCTTACTTACTAAGTCTCATGATGCTCCATGATGCTCCAAGCAGGCTTGCTTACCTGTTGTGTGTGCGCTTTCGTCGTTGTTTCTTTTTGCTATCCTCTTCTTTCGGACTCAGGGTTCTGGGTTTAGGGTTTAGGCTTTAGGGCTTAGGGTTTAGGGTGTAGGGCTTAGGGTTTGGCTGTATGATGCTTGAGATTTCGAGTTCATGTAGGGGCCTTAATAATTAGAGTAGGGTTTTGGGGCCCATTATACGATGTTTGAAAAAGGAAACCCCAAAGTAGTATAGGTAACTATTAAGGCCCCTATATGAGGGTTGAGGTCTTTGGTGTTTGCGGTGTAGGCTCCGTGGACACGAGGCACTAACATGCCCATACACAGCTTTATGTTTAGGGTTTAGGGTGCCATCGGGGCTTCGACTTCTCGCTTCTAGGTGTTGGCATAGATCATACCAGAATTCCCTAACCCCTAAACCCTATTCTGGCTGGGGCCTATGCTGACTGAGCGTAGCATCCAGGCCCAAACTCAGCCCTAATCAAGCGAAAGTAGGCCTTCACACATCCTTCAAACAACAGCCCGAAAGCACCTAAACCCTTTCGGGTGTAGAGTCTCGAGTTTAGGGTTGCAGACCCTCAACCCCTAACCCGCACCAGCTCATACCCAGTTTCTGAATTTCGTCGAATGGACAAAAGATTGAATTTGAATTGTGGCCCGCTTCTATATGAAAAAACATGTACATATACATGTACGTATATAAAACAAAGGTGTTGACATCTTGGTATGGATATTGTGCAACTATAAACACTATTATGACACCCTAACCCCTAAACCCTAACCCTGAAAGCCGAAACCCTAAACCCTAAACCCAAACTATTATGACACTTATGCAAACACCCTACTGGAAAATTTATAGCACTGACAGGCCCCCTCAGGCGAGAAAGTCTAGGGTTCAGGGTTTAGGGTTTCGAGGCTAGGGTTTAGGCTTACGGGGTTAGGGTTTGAAGGTTCGGGTCCAGGGTCTAGGGTTTAGGGTTTACGGTTTGGAGGTTAGGGTTTAGGGCTTAGGGTTCAGGGTCCAGGGTTTAGAGTTCAGGGTTAGGGTTTAGTTTTTAGAGGTTGGGGTTTAAGGGGTTAGGGGTTTTGGGTGTAGGGCTTTGGGGGTTTAGGGTTTAGCGTGCGACATAGCACAAACCTGACATTTGGGTTGCTTTATCTGCATTTTTTTGAAGTGTATGCTTAACCAGACGTCTCCTTACCTCTGTGGGCTCTTCCCTCGTCCAAGCAAGGCACCCTGTTATGGAAACCAGGAAGTCAGCAAACCCATGCAGAGAAGGCGGCGTTTCGTTGCTGATGGTCAGGTTGTGCCCTTCGCCCTGTGGTGATGACAAAAATGCAGCACGGAGGTACATTGCACAGACATACATAAACCCATTGATCATTGATATCGACTTAAACACCGGAAGTTGCCTAACTTGGCATGGTGAACCGTAGCATCTGCAGACGACACCTTGGTCCGGAAGTCCAGCGCATAGATCCTGCCATGTTGACGGTTAGCTGCTCATCCCCTTAGAGCTTCGACGGCCCTAAACCCTGAGTTCTGAAAGCCCTGCCCCAAACCCTAAACCCTAAACCCTAAACCCCTAAACCCCCAAACCCTAAACCCTAAGCCACCCAAATCCTCCTTGAACCCTTCATGGACACCAAGGTTGGTGCTGCAGCGGCAGTAATATAGGGGCCTTAATAATTAGAATAGGGTTCTGGTGCCGTTTATGGTATAGATATACTCCACAATAATATAGGTATTTCTTTAGGCCCCTATATTATGTTCTGACCCTGCCTGCGCTGCCATCTCCTCAAACCAATCATAGACAAAACCGGAGAAACGGCTTTTCCCTGCACCCTAAACCCTAAACCCTAAACCCCGAACCCCAGGACAGCGACTGCGTACTTTCTCGGCCAACCATCAACAACACTGCAGTCAAGCACCAAGCAACGTTTGAGTCGGAGCCCCACACATCAGGGACTGGCGCTTTAATATGAGATAACCATTAGAGTAAGGCTGTGGAATATAGTATCGTATACTTATAAGCAGGAGCCTGACAGAATATTGCTTTTCGTTCTTAATGTTTCTTTTTCATTCCTAAGCCGAAGCCCGGAAGAAGCAACCAAAAGACAAAAAACAAAAAAACTTCCCTTGCGGCTGGGGTTCAGGGTTTGAGTTCCAGGCTTGGAGGTTTAGAGCTTAGGGTTTAAGGTTTAGGTGGGGGGTTCAGCCCTTAATGATTGCAGCGGTTCGGTCCATGCAACTGGTGAGATTGATACTTCCACTTCTCCTTGCCCCGGCTGCTCTCGACGCTTCTTTTGACATCGCTCCACCAGTGACCGGGCGGCGGACGCCAAGAGGCTCCCCCGGCCCATCATCGTTACAAGCCCTTCAGTTTTGACTCTGCCTGCAAGGCTGCGAAACATTAACAAACTGAAAGCAACGTCCTTGCTGCATGTCCCACATCCCGCTAACCAGTCCTGACATGCCGGCCGGCTGAGTCAATGCACATCTGCCTCTTGAGCTGCAGACAGTGCCACGCTCGGAAAACGGAGAAAACCTTTTCCAGCCTATGGCTGGGAGGTGAATGAAACTACACGACTTCCAAGAAATAGATGAAGAGGCTCAGAGCATCTGGAACTGCGGATCCCAGGACATCTTGCACGATGGCACCCACGGCTTCCTTCAGCGGCTCCTCAATCGTGTCCCAGAGGATGTCCTCCGCATACTCAGCCGTCTTGCTTGCCTTCGTTGTGACTGTGCTGGTCACAAATAGTGGGAGACTAAACAAACCACCGAAGACTCCGATCCGTATAGTCGACAAATACGTGGCCAAAGAACATGTTTGTGGGTGGTGGGAGGTAAGTAGCAGTAGTAGCAGGCCTGGTGCGACCATCAGTACGTACTAGCAGTAGTATTCGGGCCGAAACGCGAGGTGCGCCGAGAGAGTGACAGAGACACACACACACACACACTCACCCACCCACCCACCCACCACCCACGCACGCACATGAAAAAAAAAACAAGCCGGGCTTCGATCTTTTCCAGAAGCGTCTTGTGCTGCGCCGATCGGATGAACGAACACACGATCAGCTCAATCTGTGCCCGCTTCTTGTCCACCCTGGCATAGGGCGGCACGAAGCTGCGGAGGCGCTTCTCGGTGGCTGGGCCGTTCTCCTTGAGACTGGCACAAGTTGTCTCGGCGTAGAGCATGAGGCCCATGATGTAGGTCATCCAGGCCCGTTGTCCAGCATCCGTCAACTTGGGAAGGTCTTCGCGAAGCTTGCGCAGACCAGCCTGGATCTCGTCCGGGCTCAAACAGCATGTTGGTTGTCTTTACCACATCCTTCTCAAGGCAGTTCAAGGTGTCCTTTACCGTTCGGCAGCCTTGGAAGAAAGCCTTCTTTGCCATCCATCCGACGAAATATTCCGCTGCGAAAGCTGCTGCAAGCACGCTGGCCGAAACGGGCTCGCACATGCTGGGCGGCCGTCAAACGGAAGGGAAGCTCTGTGCCCTCGGGACGAAATGATCTGGGCAACCAGGACTTTCGTGCAGTCGCTTCCTCTCTCGCCCGACACACCTCGAACCAACCCGAGAACACCTGTTGATGCAAGCCCTTCTGCAAACCCCCCAACCGTCAAACCTCTCCAAAGCCGAACTGCATGACTTCACGGCCCAAATCTGCGAGAGCCCACACCCTGAACCACACCGAACGCTAACCCTGACCCTAGTCCAGAAACACTACCCCTAAACCCTAAACCCTAAACCCTAAACCCCTAAACCCCTAAACCCCTAAACCCTACACCTCCTGAATCCCGCCTCATACCCGGCCAGGCGGAGATGGTACAGGAGCCAGGCCCATACCTTCGCAAGACTGCCGGCCTGAACCCGAAACCCTTTACAGGGTTTGGGGTTTAGGGGTTTA